GGTAAATTTCAAAGATTGAAATATTATTTCATCATCAGATTAATTATCATCATCCTGATTCTAAAATTATTTTGATGATATTTTACTCTTGGTCGAAGTAGTTAATCCTCTCCCTTTTGATGCATTATGATGTTGTCATTGTAACATGGAAATGCACATACTCTGTTTTGTTGCCTTAACTTTATGTATGATTTTTGTTTAATTTTAATTGCTTTAAATTATTCTTTGCTTGCTTTGATTTCAGCATAGTTAGAAATTTCTTTCACGTTTCTTTTTATTCCTTGCTTAATCTCTACTGTTGAGTAGTTTGAGTCCTAATTATAAGGATTGCTTAACATTATTAACTTTAAATTTGAATAAAATTTTTCCCACAATTTTGCTTTTATTTCAAATATTATATAATTATTAAATTAAATCTTTTATTTAATAATTAATGGCAAGAGGTACACCAGCAATCGGTAAAAGACATTAAAAGACTCATACATTTTGTAAAAGATGTGGTCGATAAACATTCCACATTTAAAAAAATAGATGTGCTTCCTGCGGATATCCAGCAGCAAGATTGAGACTTTGTATACCCATCATTCTATACAATTATAGATAGCGGATGGGGAGAAAAAGTGGCTAGACGCAGATCAACAGGAACAGGAAGAATGAGATACTTAAAATCTATTGCAAGAAGAGCAAAGAATGGGTTTAGAGCAGGAACTTAGGCATAACCAAAAGTTAATAAAACTTAAAAAAAATGAATAATCATGCTTTTAAAAATAATGCATTAATTCTACATCATTTCTTTGCAATTATTCTTTTGAAATCCTGCTAGATTTCTATTTTTTATAGTATATGTAATTGAATTGTCTATGTCAAATGTCATTAAAAAAATTAAATCTTTAAATTTAAATATTAATAAATAAATAAGATTATGTCCACAAACAAAGAATAAATTAAGGCTGAACTTGATGAGAATAGAAAGAAATTAGCAGAAAAGTTTGGGTAAACCAAAATGGGCAGCACTTTGGCTAGAAGAAAGCATAAAAATGTTCATCAAACTCAAGTATAGAAAGGAATTAATCATATTAGATTAATGATGACAAGAAATTGAAATAAGTCATTAAGAAGTTTGGTGTCTAGCAATTAGGAAATATTGATGAAGTCAATTTCTTCAAGGATGATAACACTATAATCCATTTCTCAAAACCAGAAGTCCAAGCAGCTATTGGAAGCAATACATTTGCAATATTTGGAAATCCAGAAACTAAAAAGTTTTAAGAATTGATGCCAGAGATTTTAAATCATATTGGACCAAACTAAATGTCTCTTCTACAAGAATTAATGAAAGAAACTTAAAAGGTACACAATTTTAAATAAAGATTAGGAAAAAGTTGAAAAAATAGCCGAAGCTGATTAAAAAGACGAAGATGATATTCCTGTATTAGTATAAGGTTAAAACTTTGAAGAAGCAAGCAAGAAAGAATGAGTTAAATTATCATATATTATGTATATCGGCCATTAAACATAAGACTTATGAAATAAAACAAATTATATATTTTTAATTTAATTAACAGATGATTAATTTACCTGTTGATGTCGATGTCTAGATGATCCAAAAAAATAAGCTTTTTTAAAAATTTATGCAATAATAATAGCAGGAAGCATAAGCATAAAACCCTCAAATTTAATAGAAAATACACAATAAATCCAATCATGATTCAATAGAGGATTAAAAATATTCTCATGAGAAAATGGAAGAAAGTTCTATCTATTAAGATTTTGCTAACTTTGCTAAAGCTACTAATTACAAGCAATCATCACCTTATAATTATCATAAATAGTAATTTCAATAAATTCCATAAATGAATTAAAATTCTGGAAGCAACAATACATAAGAAATAAAGGATTTATAATTGAAAAACAAATCGCTTATTTAGTAGAACTCTATTTTATAGTAATCCTTGTTAGATCTTTAGCAAACTATACATAGACAAACAATTGATTTAGATATACAGAAAAATGAGATATTAAATTAAAAGAGAGTAGTTTAAGAATAACAGATAGAGATAGAGTAATTGAGAAGGTAATTGTCAGAGAAAAGAAACAGTAGCTTAGAGAAAACCAGATAATTTGCAATTATTCAAACTCAATTAATATAATCAAACCAAATGGTAGAAAAACTTATTTCTTAATTGATGAATTAAGAATCACAATTAAGTGTAAATTTTTATTTTATCCATAGTTGTATCGACAAACTTAGATTAATTTCCCAAAAATAGATAATTTATAATTGAATGTAGACTAAAATAAATCAAATTTGATAAATGCATAAAATCTTCTTAGCAATCCATCATCAGTACCCTAGCCTTATTCCACTTAATATCAATAACAATCATCATCATAAATGCCTCAAAATACAACATAATAATAATAATAAACATACCAAATACAATAATAATAGATATAAATTTCATCGTAGTAATAAAATCCAAATCCTGTGAGTTTGCCAACAAAATAATAGTTATAGTAGGATGCTGATACATCGTATGAAAGATATTTAATGCATAAGAGAGGAAGACATTGATTCTATTTGAATGATTTAGTTTATATTTCATTTATGAATTCAAATTATTTTCATAACTTTTATAAAAATGAGTTTATAAACTAGATCAATGGAAAGAACATCAGCCGGCGAAAAATAACAAACTTGGCAATAATATAGAATTTTTATAGAAGAAATGAATACTTTAATTGGATCAGCCTTAGTGGAGGAATTTAGAAATGATCACGAAAATGATATTAATCCAAATATCATTGTTGGGAATGGAGAAAGGTTACCCAGAGGAGCAACGAAATTAATTAATGCTGCAGATCTAAAAGAATTAGGCTAAATAGTATTAGATAGTGATATTGTAATATTTCATCAGAATTATTGCCAAGCAGAATATGCTTATAAATTATTAAAGCATGGTTAATACTAGTAGTCGAAAATCTTTATTTTAATAAGTAATCCTCTGACATGGTCTACAACACAATTAAAAGATAGAAAAAATGATGAAACTGCTATGAGATAATCTATGGGAGGGGATGTAGAAGATCAACCATTTTTGAAAAAGTATGAGAAATTTACAGAAAATGATCTCCCTATGAGAAAAATACATTTCTTAGAAAGATTAAAGTATTTAGAGCAATAAATAATTGTTTGTGATAAACCTTAATTGCATGCATATGTAATAACTCCAGGGTTAGTCTATGGAAATGGAGAGGATATATTATATGACTTATTTAAAACTGCATGGATGACACCAGATGCAGAATTGCCAATTTATGGAGATGGAAACAATATTATACCTATGATTCATGTTAATGATTTAGCTAATATAGTAAATAAAACAGTTACATTAACCCCAAATGAAAAGTATATTTTTGCAGTTGATTATGATAATATGACCTAGAAGAAACTAGTAACTACGATTGCTAAATCTGTCGGAAATGGCGTTACAAAGAATGTTACAACTCCTACTGAGAAGATGCTGACCATAAATGTTTGGCTTAGACCAACCTAAGTATTTGAGTCAGAGGATCAATATATAGACGCTAAGAAAAACCCTATAATAATATGGTAATGCAAAGAAGGATTTGCAAAAAATATCCTAAAAATCAGGGAACAGTTTAAACTCTATAGAGGTCTAGATACTGTTAAATTAATCGCGCATGGAGGAACAGCTTCAGGAAAATCGAACCTTTGCAAATAATTAGCCAATTTTTATAGAATTCCTCACATATAGATTAAACCATTAATTTAAGAATTAATTGAGTAATAATCTGAATTAGGAGAATTAGTAAGGACTACTTTATAATAAGTAAAAGATTAACTGGTCGCAGAAGCATTAGCCATTTTTGAAGCTGAGAAGAAGAAGAAAAAGGTTCCTAAAGGTTAACCTGAACCTGTTTTTGATCCCTCGGGCATTTAACCAAGGCTTCCTGACTCAGTCTTAATATAAGTTTATAGATGGAGATTGGAATAAAATGATGCTTAAAATTTAGGCTATGTGTTAGATGGTTTTCCGAAAACATTAGAATAGTATGAAAAATTATTCGTAAAAGAAGAAGGCTAACTAATTGAATCTTTAAAACCAAAAGGTGTGATTTATTTAGAATACCCTGATGACTAATTAAAAGAAAAAGCAAAACTAATACTTGATAATCCTAGATATTCCGAGGAGTAAGTAGTCAAAAGACTGGCTAATTTTAGAAAAAACAATGAATAATTATTATAGCAATATGAGTAATTTGACATAAAACGAATCTCGGATCAAGAAAGTGCTTTTGAATAATCAAAGGATTTTATTACTAGAAATGGACCTATTTTAGTGTTGCAAGATGTTAAAGAAGAGGAGGTAGTTTAGATTGAAGAATAATAAGATGATTGCACACCTTCCCATTAGGTTTCAACTCTTCAATAAGAAAAGGTTGCTGCAGTTTAATAATCATAAGTTCAATAATCCTAAGTTGGACCAAAAAAAAAAGGAGATTAATTAAATGTAACTAATTAAATGTATTTTATTTTAGAAGTCTATTAATGAAAGTAGATTATCAAAGGATAATAAAAAGTTAACAGATGAGCAAAAGCAAGATCTTATTAGATAATAGGAAAGGGAACTTTTAGATTAGCGAAGTTAACCTTTAAGACAATATTTGGCTGATAACGTTGTTCCCTTTTTAACAGAAGGATTAATAAATATATGTGAGAAACACCCTGAAAATCCATTATAATTTTTAGCTGATTTTTTGGAATAAAAAGGAAACGAATTATAATAATTGGGGCAATGAATTTATTATAAATAAAATAGTAATTATATTCATCCAATCATATATTGTAATCTTAGAAATGACAACAACTAGAAATATGAAAGGAAACAGTATGGGGTATCACTTCAATTAAAATTTTGAGTATTAATTAGAAATGTGGAAATATAATAATAATTATAAATATATATTATTTGTATATGAGTAAACAATATAAGGACATAAGAGCAAATTTTGTTTTTGATGTTGCTCCTAAAAGTACTCACTAATCAAGCGATGAATAGCCAATGGCAATTAAGCAATCAAATCCAATAAAAATTGATAATCAGGAACAGGATTTGAAGGGAATTAGTTAATAACGATAATCAAATTTTGATGAGGAAAAGTTGAAATCGTATTAGAAAATGTTTGAGATGTGTCAACAATTATATAATGACAAAGCTTAATTAATAGATGTATAATTGTATTTGATTAGAGACAGTCGATTAATAATAGAAATAAATATTAGAACTAGAGAGACAAATTAATGGATATGAAAATTTGCAAGCAAAGTATGAAAAGGAGTAGATGCAATTAAAAGAGGAATAATAATAGTATATTTAAGAGATTGAAACATTGAAATGTCAGTTATAAGTAGTGATGGACTCAGGATAGGATATAAATTAGATATAAAATAATCAGGATGAGCTCTATGAATAATTAATGAATTTCATTTATAAGGAAAATCTTTCAGAGTTGATAAATGATTTGGATAAAAGTAATAAAAAGATGATTGTATTGTTTTTAGTGGAATATGTAAATTGTTGTTTTGATGGTTTAGTTAATTAACTAATATGTGTAAAAAAAAAATCAGGAGGAAATCTACTAGATCCACATTTAGGACAATATTTAAATAATTTATGATTTATAAAGTAAAATTTAAGACCTTACTTGTATTCCTTTCAGAATTACTACTCCGAAGAGTGTATTAAGCGACACTTTAAAATAGAGCAAGATGAGCAATAGTGCAAGCAATTTCCATAAAACTAGCAGTAATAACAATGTTGACAAGGAGGAATTGTAACAAAAGATTGGTATTATGATACTCTTAATTAGCGTCTTTAAAGCGTTAAGGAAAACAGATAAATCAAAAATGGCAAGAGTTTTGTGAAAATATTCTAAGGGAAAGGAATGAAGTAATTAAATACCATAAGAAATAAATTGAATCAATTAATGAGTAGAATGTTGAGTTAAAGAAGACTATCTCTGAAATTATATAATATTTGGGATAGAATTAATAAGACTTATGGATTTAAATGTTAGATATTAAATAAAAAATACATTTTAAGGTTATTGATTTGAGTAGAAGTGACAATGCCAATAAACTTTTGCTAGAGGTAGAACTAAAACAATTATTCTCAATACAAGCGCAATTAAGAAGTCAATTAAATCGCAATAGACCGTTAAGAAAAGATTAATAATGAATTATATGCTAATGAGATAATTGTTGTGTAGTATACGTGTTAATTTTTTATTTTAATTTATGAGACTTCTTCATTTGCTTAGACCAGCACTTTCTATCATTCCAGAAGTGCAAGAGCCAAGATTCCCTCAACCACTGAAGGTCAAAGTGCTCATTACAGGAATTACTCTCTTTATCTATTTGATTTGCTGCTAAATACCATTATATGGTGTGTACCGTACCTCAGGTATATTTTCAGGGAAATGTATTAGGATCTGATCCTTTCTATTGGATGAGAGTAATCTTGGCTTCAAATAAAGGGACATTGATGGAATTGGGTATTTCACCAATTGTAACATCTGGAATGATTTTATAATTCCTAAGTGGAGTAGGATTTATTGAAGTTAATCATTCTGTTAGAGAAGATAAGGTATTATTCAACGCAGCATAAAAATGTAATTCTAATATCAAATTTTAGTATTGTCTTTTATTATGGCAATAGCTGAAGGAATGGCTTACATTTGGTCTGGTGCATATGGTGACATAAATCAAATTGGAGCAGGCAATGCCATTCTGATTTTATTATAATTAACATTTGCTGGTGTTATTGTTACAATGTTAGATGAAATGCTTTAAAAAGGATATGGTACAATATAAAAATTTTAAATCTTTTAGGTTTGGGATCAGGTATTTCATTATTTATCGCAACTAATGTAAGTGAAAATATTCTCTGGAAATCTTTTTCACCAATTACATTGTCCACTGAGGCTGGAACCCAATTTGAAGGTGCTATTATTAATTTTTTTCATTTGCTATTCACAAAATAAAATACACGTAAAATTGATGTAATTGTTTAGTCTAGGCACTTTATTATGCATTCTTCAGAGAATCAGCCCCAAATCTTAATAATTTGTTAGCCACTTTATTTGTGATCTCATTGGTCATTTACTTACAAGGTTTCAGAGTAGAGGTTCCATTAGCAAGTTAAAAAATTAGAGGATTAGTGTCATCGCATGGAATTAAATTGTTTTACACCTCAAATATCCCAATGATTATTCAAAGTACTCTTGTTTAAAATGTTTATTTCCTTTCATAATTACTCTATAAAAGATTCAAAACCAATTTTTTTGTGAAATTGCTTGGTACATGGTAAGAGGCAGAATTTGGTGGCTAATCAGTACCTATAGGAGGATTAGCATATTATATGTCACCATTAAGAGATGTTAAGGATATTATTAATGATCCAATTCATGCAGTTGTCTATGTGCTATTTGTTGTATTTATGTGCGGATTCTTTGCTAAATTTTGGATTTAAATTTCAGGAGAAAGTGCCAAAGATGTTGCTAGAAAATTCAAAGATGAATAAGTATCAATAAAAAATGAAGATAGATTAAAATTAAAGGATTGAGAGAAGAATCGATGGTCAAATATTTATCAGGTTATATTCCAGTGGCAGCATTTTGTGGAGGAGTTTGTATAGGATTATTGACTATTGTTGCAGATATTTTGGGAGCTATAGGATCAGGTAATATTAATTTTTATTAACACAGGAACCGGAATTTTGTTGGCAGTAACAATTATTTATGGATATTTTGAAACTTTTCATAAAGAAAAATATGATAATCAATCCATATTTTGATCAATAGCAGTTTATCTATATTTATGTACAAATGTTATAGTAATTTATTCTAAAATGATATATTTTATGTTTGTTCATGATTAATTTAATATAGTTTGGATACTTGAAGGTCTTGGATTGATATTTTCTAACAATCGTCTATATTTTACTGATTAAATATTCTATTATATTTATAAAAACAGCATAATGAACCAAAATATCAGACTTAGTTAGTTATAAAGAAACAGTTACGATGAATAACTTTAGAAATACAGTAATTTATTATTTTAAATTTCATCCGTCTTATTTATATATCAGTAGGCTTTAAAAATAATTGATCTTCTTAATTGCTCAACTTATTGGGTTATAAAAATTTAGATAATTATCTGAAAGCTGATTCTATATTCAAATAAAATTTATAGGATTATTCATAAAAAATTAATTGAAATCAATATTTAACATACCATTCAATAATTTAATTAATTTCTAATGCTTATGTTTTAATTTGATATAATTTTTATTTCCAAATATGGGATGGGAATCAAGGCCTGATAATTTAACCAATTTGTCTTCTGCTGTAGGTAATTTCAGCTCTGAAAAATTCCAAATTGCAGTTTATTTTTTGTAGTTGTCTTAATTTTTAATTGATGATTCAATAATGCATGTTTTTACCCTATTAAAATCATTCCAAAAAATATGCTTTATCTCCCAATGCTCTAGATATCAAATCAACGCCTGACCACATTTTCTGAAACTTATTTAATTTAAGTAACCTATAATTGCTCTCAATTGTTAATAAGTTGATTGCAGAGGTAGCAAAAAATTTCAAAGCACTATTTATAAATTGTGAATCTTGTAGTAAAGCTTAAGAAAATACTTTAATTACATCAAGATATCAACTTCAATTAAAGTCAGCGATAGGGGAATAAATTAATTTCACCCTTGATTCCTCACTTTTTTTGATTTGCAGAAATGGTATCAATTATAAATTAACCTAAAAGGTTATATCAATTCAAATTATGTGTGATCAAACATTAATTGGATGTGATGAGTGTTTGGCTCATAATTTCAGTTATGATTAAAAAGCTGATTTTTCAAATGATCGTGAGTTTGAAAAGATTAGAATAAAATGAAATGATTGTAAATGATTACGAAATCATATACTCAAAGGTTAACACCATGTGTTATTTGATATTTATGGAATTTGATGTGAATTAGGTTTATATAAAATGATTGATCGTATGAGAAGCAAATTTAAGGATAATAATAAAGCGAAATAGAAATCTTTTGAGTGTGATGAGTCTTCTGCAGATTCAGAGATGTATTTATATATATTATTAATTTTAGTTTTGATGTCTATGAAATAAAATGGTCAAATCAATATTCAACTGTCGTAAAGAATTTGCTAAAAATTTTTAATTTTAATTAAAATACCATTTTTGAAGTAATACAGAGGTAAATTATTCTTTTTCTAAACCCTTCCTATAAATTATTGATATGACTCTTCAATTATAAATTGGAAATTTATCTTTGCAGAAATACTTCTTGTAGTCTTGGTCAGACTAGGAATTGCACTAATAAAGTACTAATCATCCTTCTTCTGACACCATAATGTAGGAAGGTTACACTTGGGTTTG